GCGACTACAGGTCGGCAACCAAGGCAATCGATGGCGACAATTGTCGAACATGTCAGCAGTGTCCACTGAGAAACTAGTCGCGCAGTCAGGGAACTCCATAGAGTTCACGCACCCACGAGGAGAGCGCTGTTCCTGACACAAGCAAAACTTGTCTGATGTCCCACACACACAGATTTTCAATGAAAGAACCACGAAAAGATTTCAGGTAGAGACAAAGCAGGCACTACCTTTCATCGAAGATAGTTTGAGAGTCGTGGACTTCCACAACCTTCAAGTTCTTTGACAAACCATTGTCAGCGCAGCAAACACATATTGACAAACCAGCTGACAGGATCATTCCATCGGCGGGTCGCGTGCCACTGCTCCGCCGGAGGCGCCAGCAGCATTATCGCCTGCTCTGAAGCGCACGCGCACCCACACACACACCCGACTCTGAAAAAAGAAGAGCTACGGAAACTCCACCTACAACATCCCCACATGTCAGTGGACAATTTAGATTCAGAACCCGTGCGTTGCACCTGCCCAGGGAGATCTATGAACTCTACAAGAAGATGGGAAAGCTGCAGCAAAACGAATGGCCTTCGAGCTGAGTGATTCGGCGGACATTCATTGATCGCTGTCAAGTGTTAATTTATCCTCATTTGACGGAGCTACTACCCTTCTCTCACTGCTGAAGTAGTAGAGAGAACAACTGGAATCACCAACATTCCTTTGCTCAAAAACTACTTTGATCAATATCATCTTGGGCCGAAGTGGATCGTTGAAGAGCAAGAGTTCATGTCTCAAGCCTGGGGAGATATTCGACAACAGTCTTGACATAAGACCGACCCCCTAGGTCCCATGACACCCTAGCCGAACCGAGCCGAGACAGCAGTCCGTCTCACCAAGAGACAAAATCTCACTCATACTCAACTCGATCAAAGCACGGATAGCGCCAGCATGCCTGCAGGCCAGAAAGCACAAGCAACACGAAAAGGCGCGTTCGGGCGCGGCCAGCAGAGCCTAAAACGGTGGAAGAGCTGCCCAACATGCGTACCAAGAGGCGCGACACATCGACCTCGCGCAACACCTGCGCCCAAGTTCCGAGCCAATAGCGTTTGGCGACAGAATGTTCTATTGAAGCGAAGACAACTCAAAGAGAAAACCTGACGGTTCAGAAGGATGTGGCTAAAAGGCAAGGTAAAAGCCACGGATGGCGCAATGGTAGGACTCGACCTTGGAACGCGGCTACCCAAAGGTCAACATCACAAACGCGAGAACGGATGAATCTTTGTGACTTGCCAGCCTCCGACGAAGATCTGCGTAGAGATCTGTTAGCGCAAAATAAGGCAGCAACAAGACAAAGACGACCATGAATCAATCAGATTCAGTAGAACCAGCGCCCGCAAAACTTTGCACCGAAGACCGCACTTGCCATACATTATTCGCAAATTGGAACTGTGTGACTACGGGCAAGATTCATGTTCTGGAGGTCTCTGCAGGAAGCGCTCGCCCCGTGCATTGACAGGACTCAAGGTTGCGCGCGCCAATCGACATTCGAAACCTTTTTCGATGTTATGACCTCAAAGGTCGACAAACGGTTCTGGATATTGTTCGTAGGCAACAGGATGACGCATGTGCGTTCCTTTGACAAGTGAACGCGCCGGGTAGACTCTGGGTCTTACCAGCGCACAGGTGTGGCTGGAGCAACTGAAGCCCTTTACAGTGGCGCTCGCTTGCACTCTCACAAAACCGCATGTCTTTCCAACAAGCGGCAATTCGGCCCATGCCAGTCGACCGCGGGGAGACCACAATGGCGGTGGAGATGATCCACCGGGACCAGGTCCTCCTTGCCCCGCAACCAGACCCACCAACACCGCTCCATGTTTCAATGCCACGGGCCACGCCTGAACAACGGCGAAACCCAGTCATCTATGGCGCAGGCGCTGGTTCTACTACCACGGACAACCAGCCTCGGCGGCTAAGACGCCAATTTCCTAGTCAATCGCCGGGGCGGGGGGTGATGTTTCAAAGCCTCCTATTAATTAGGCCAACAGTTGCCGTGCCACTGCTGCAACACAAAGCCGACAGTTGTTGCACCACCGCCGCCGCAACCTACGGAAGCCTCCACCAGTACCAGAAGACAACAATGATGACATCCCGGGAGAAGCCAATCAAGAACCGCAAGAAGAACAAAGATAATCCGAGGGCAGCAAAACCTTCAGCGCCGGCATCATCATCAAGCGATCCTTCACCACTTCCGCTCGCCTCAGAAGTGCCTTCGGCATCAGCGCCGACATCTCTGACGACAAGGCGCAAGCATACCCCACGCAGGACGGAGAGTCCTCAAAGGAATTGCGATCAGGAACAACCCGAGAGCTCTGGTTCGCAACACGCGCGTCACTACATCGACGAAGAATCAGACCTGGAACTTGATGAACCTTTTTGGAAATAGTTGTCACATGCCAGAAAGTGTGTAGCGACACTGGCTCACGCAGTGTGCTAAGAGGCATTGAGGGAAAACCAATCAGTCTCCACACAGCGCAGCCTGCTGAAGTTCATTGCAGTTTCTTTCTACGCGCACACACCATAACATCACAATGAGTCGGTGCGCGAAGGCTTCACAGACGACGACCGAGCTGCGCCCACACTGCGCACCAGGAGACAAGAATCCTGCCACACAACAAGAGATCCGATCATACAAACAGTTGGGGTGTAAATCCTGGTTGGGCAATGAGAAATTCGATTTAGCAGATGCCAAAACTCCATGTCAGGAACTGGGTAACCGGGAGACGGGTCTTAACCAGCAAAACGGACAAGGACTGCAAGACCCAGGCGCGCCGGGTGCTTAGAGGCTTTCAGGACCGGCAGAAGAACCACCAGCAGATGGTCCAGCAGCTTCAGCAGCTTCGAGGAGCTGGTTCAGGCTGCCTATGATGACAGCCGTGAACTAGTCTGTCAGGGATGCGCTATCCTCCATGTCTCGGGTTCAACACTGCGCCAAAGCGCTGCTATCGCGCAGGCAAGAATTGTCCCCTCATGTTAGATGACCTTCTCGTGACAGGTGAGCGAACCCAATGGAAGGCAGATCCCAAGCGCGGATATTACACCAACGTCCACCAGAACGTAGCTATCGATGAGCTTAAAGAGATGAACTTTGAGAAGCACCTAAAGGACGATGTTCAACTCTGCGATGCGTACCTTTCAGTGACAGCGAGGAGAACAAGCGTCCTCGTTGGCCTTGAGAATGATGTTGTCTGAACAGTTCAAAAGCCGGTGTGTTCTTCTTCCTGTGGTGAGCTGGTCATACTTCACATGATCTGCAGAATCCAGGAAGACTGGATCGGGCACTATCGGCAGTCCCTGGAGTAGGGTTGCTATTTCATTGACCTTTTCGCTGTGTTGCTCACGCCTTCTCTGATAGGTGTCGTTGGTTGTCTTCCAAAAAGAGTTCCGATTTTGCTCATGAAGTTCACGAGGAATCTATAAAGGAATGCTTTCTGGGTGCCCATGAAGGAGTAGCCTCGTAGGAATGCAACAAATATTCCACTCCAGTGTTTGGGCCAACAAGTCTAGGAGCCTGTTCTTCAACACCGGACCTCGCCGCCGCGGCTCGGTGACTGTGAAGTTAACCCAGCCCTTTACCAAAGCAGCCCTTTACCAGATCTTCATACCGAGCCCAACTTTCATGGCCATCATTCGGTGGAGGCAGCTTTGCATTCGTCGAGAAGTTAACGATCTCTGCGGACGCATGTCCGCCGTTATGCCGGCTCGAAAAGGCCGCAGCGGATCCATCTGCTTCATAGAAACCCTCCACACTTGACTTGTTTCTTTCCAAAAACCAGCTCCGCTGCGGGGACCCAAGTGGCATGTGTACTTCGTAGGGCCAGTAAATGGACCTATTCCGACGGAGAGTAAATGGGAAGAGGTAGATGACCAAACATGTGAGAAGGCAGGTTTGGCTTGCTTGTAAACCAAATATGAACAGCACCACAAACAAGTGTGAAGCGCTTGGTGCAATCAACCAGGCTTGAGCCAAATAGATGGCAGCCGGGGTTGCTCGTGAGTGGAATGTTGTGACTGAAGCGCAGACAGTGCTGAAACGCAGACTGAAGTGGCTGCTCGAGCTGCAGCCAAAAGTTTTAATGGTAGGTGCTCAGGAGCTACAGAAGTGGACTTGGTATACGGATTTGCCCAGCAGCGTCTTCGTGCGGCCGGAAATCATGTTCATGGGTTTGAGCGTTGTTTTCCCGCCTGAGGGATGCGGGCTGATAGTTTTTTGACATCCGGCCGCCACAACCAGCCACCGCCGACAAGCCTGTGACAGACTGCGACAGAGCCCGTGGCAGACTGACGTGACGGACAGCTCTGACCAAGCTGTGCGTGACAGCTGTGACAGAGTTTATGCACACAAATGTGACAGACGGCTGTGACAGAGCTGGTGACAGATAGCTGTGTAACATCGCGGCAGTCGGAACTGGTTGGCCAGGACAGCCGTAACAACCCAATACCAGATAGTCTGAAGCCGCATTCCATTTGGCCGTGAAAGGCGCGCGAAAGCAGAAGACACACATTGAAAATCTCGATTTGGATGGTTTCGGTGTACTCACGTAAACGCAATCGCCCGAACGCTAGCTTGAACGAAATTCCCCAATCCGCGCAAGCGGCGCGTCGGCGGTTGCTATGCCGACTCCTCTCGCGTAAGCTGCGCTCGCAGCCGCAGAAGCCCTGCGTAGGGCTGCGCAAAAGCAATGCGACCGCGCAATGCTGTAGAACAATGCTGAGCTGGCGCTGTTTTTCATTTTCATTCTGAGGCCGATGGACGCGTTTTTTGCACGCACCGTCCCGTTTTGTTTTGATTCGGGTGTGAAGTGAGACAACGGGGCCAATTCACAAGGGGACATGCGGGGCACGCATTTCATCTAATGGCATGAGCCCATGTAGCCCGGCGCGCCTGGCGACGCACACGGTGTGCAACCATCAAGGCTGCCTTACAGAGCTAAGCCTGAAGATACCGACAGGCTGCCGGGCCTGCCGCAGCTCGGGACGCGCGGGAGTTCAGTGAGGTGGGGGCAGAAAGAAAAAATCATGTTTGGGCGTTGCTTTGCTTCGTCGATGTTGTTGACAGGCAGGGCGGAAGTCCTTGATGAGGGTGCCACGGGAGGGCTGTTTCTTGCGCCGGGAACCTAGCAACGCAGTGGCTAGCAGCGGGTTGGCCTGTGATTGCAAGGTGTGGCCAATGTCATGGACATCTTGCAGCAGGCTGCAATGGCGAAACTGAGCCCACGGTTAGGCTTCAAGGTTGCCAGCCCTGTCCAGCGGGAGTGCGCCACAGTCAGGAGTTATCCGGTGTGTTATTTCCTGCTTGTTACCCTGCAAAAGCCTTGGTTTTGGCAAAGTTCTGCTGTTGTGCTTGCGCAGGATTGGGTTGTATGTTTTGGTGGATGTCCTTTGCTTTGGACAGACGGACAACGAATGCTTACAGGAGCCAGGACGCTCGCAATCCTGACCAAAAATGTTGCAGCTTTGGCGCGGTGTGGTCGCAGGTGCGGACTATGGTGGGAATGGTCACCAATGTCTGGAGCTGGTCTATGAGAACCAACTCAACATTCCGCCAGGCTGCGGCAGAGCTTGTGTCAGACCGGCAGTTCCAACGTGTCAGCGCACAAAGGCTCAGGCGACGTGTTTGTTCAAGCAAAGGCTTGTCAACACAGTTAACAAGCATGCCGCGCAGTTTGTTGGATTGTTCCTTTTGGCAAGATGTTGATCACATGTGCGGAATGCTCGGAAACTGGATTCTGATCGGAAGCTGCAAGCCTCTTGGGCTCCGGAGTGTTGCTGGTGCAGGTGATGCCTGGGTTGGTCAGGGTCCACGCTGGCTCTGAGACCTTCATCCTGCAGGGCTTCTTCTTGCCTGGGCTCCCAGCCAGGGCAGGGCGCTGCGCATGGTGCATTGACGACCGCACAGTTGCGAGAATTGAGAGGTCTTTCCTCAGCACAGTTGCTTGTCCTCAGCCCAGGCAGGACTTGGATGCTGCGCCCATCAATAGCAGCCGCCCAGCAGCGATCGGAACTCGTTTGCTTGCCCTTCAAACCATGGAACCCGGAAGATATTCTGTTTGGGCCTTGATGTTTTGGCTCCATGTCGGCTTGCAGGGGACATTGACTTGAACAGTGGTTTCGCAGTAAAGTCCGCATGAAAAAAAAAGTCTGAGGCCAGACTAGGCGTGGTAGAATTTGCCTTTTCAGAAAGGCTGAAGTAGATGATAGCTGGCTACGACACCAATCATTCCCATCGGGCTTATAGACCTTGTCATGCCTCTGCATCCTCAGCCTCCATCCCGAACACCTGTGTTAAAACGACCTTGAGCGAAATGCTACAAATTCTGAGTTTGGCGTGACTGATTCCGTAGTGACCCGAGGTCAGCCGAAAAATTACGTCAGGCGCGGCCCACTTGTGCAGGTTGCAGCAGCTTTGTTGCGACGTTTTTGGTTTCTTGGCGTGTGTCAGGGGCCAGCCGCCGGTGACCGATGTGAACCTAAAGGTGCCCATCAAGCCTCTCGGAGGGAGCGGGTGCAACCGCCGGCACTGACGGACCCTCGAATCTAATCAGAAGTCTGCTATTTTAGTCTCAAAACACATCAGGCGTTCGCAAACGTGCTGTCAATTCTCCAGAATGTAGGGGGCGTGGACTGTTCGAATCTTTGGCTCTGCAGAGCTGCGGGCCCAGTGTCTTGTTTTTGGTAGCTTAGTAGTGTTTTTTGTGTGAGGTCCTTCCCGCAGATCCAAGTGCTCCTGAAGCTACGGTGGCTGCTCAGCCCCTCGCTTGAATCGGCAATCAACTGATTTAGCAAAACTTGTGTGGCACGTGATTTAGTATTGCGGGAGCTTCCTTTTCACGTTGAATTTGAGCTTCCCTTCGATTTTGCAGGGTGTGAACTGAAAAGGCTAGTTTAGAGAAGTTTCCTTGAAGCGCGCTCCTCTTCACGTGATTGATTTGGGGCTACTCTTTCGGAAAACTCGTTTTTTAGTTAAAGAAACGAATAATAAACTTCACAGTTTGCTGTTGGAGGGGCTGCAGCTTGAATGACGTCAGCCACTGGAAGTTATTCCAAATGAAGTTCCATCCCCCCAGTATCGATTTTTGACGTTTGCCCCAAACCAAAGAGAGAACAAGTTGCCCGCCTTCCTCTAAACACCATGGGCGTGCGCGGCAAGAACCTCGGCAATTCAGGTGTGGCCGTTGTTAGTGAACCACTTGCTTTGAGGACTCCACTCCGCTTGCTGCGAGCTAGACTTCAAAATGTGCTCGTTGAGGACTGTCCTGGAGCTTGTGGCAAGGGGTGAGTTATACCACAAGCTGAGAGGAATATCATCTTGGGCATGCAGTACGTCGTGGAGGTCTCAGAAAAGCTGGCAACGACGATAGGGATGCCTGAAAAGCAGCCTGAACATGTTAGAGCCAGTCGCTGTCGGTAACATCATGCAACTTGTGTGACGGCAACCCGCCACCGATTGGTAATGTGAGTAGTGCACGTGTCGCAATGACACCACCTTGGTCATGGCGACATGCAAATCACAAGAAACCTGTCTGAATTCTTTGGGCAAATGAGGAACGTTGAGCCAACATCTTGGGCCGTGCGGGGGTGGGGGTGAGTTCGGGCCGAATGACGGTCACTCTTCGACGCGGGTGCAAAAATTATGCACAGAGCTGTAAATCGTGGCTTTGGTGGGATCGCAGGTAAGCCTGCAAATGTCCAACTTCGAGTGTTCAGATTCAACAATGTGGTGCTGGCAGGCGCAGCGTTTTTACTTGCTCGAGCCAGGGCTGGTGCGCAGCCCAAAGAGGGACTGCGGCTTGACTCTCTCAGTGACATACCTTCAGAATGCCACCAACGCGTTGACGCAGCTGTCCAAGCCAAGCAAGGCCCTCGTCTTTTGCCGCGGCCGGCGGGCCGTTCCAGGCTTGGAGATTTTAAACACTTGCTTGGTCGCGGGCCGTCCCCGCCGCCCGGCCTTGTTGCCGCTGTTCTCTTCCAGCTTCCGGTCGCGTGCGCGGCAGGCAGTAGACGAAGCAGAAGTTCTGCGCGAAGTGCAGCAGCTCCTCGGCGGGGAAGCCGCGCCGCAGCAGCCGCCTGCCGCCAGGACGGCGTGTCAGAGGTTTCAACGAAGGGGATAGCGTTTTGCAGCGGCGTCGGGGCCAATTGTCCAGACACACTCCTTGCACAGAAAAGCGCTTGAAAGTCGCCGTCGCCCAAGCACGCAGAGTTCGTAGACACGCGGTTCTGTCCCGCTGGCGCCGTGGCAGGTCCATCTGGCCACCTTTCGCTGAACTTTTGAGCCCGCGTTTGTCCCCGAGCGCAGCCGCTGCAACTCTACAGGCCAAGGCTGTCCACTTGCCGCAGCTTCGAGGAGCCTGCGCGGTCCTGATTGCCTATGGACACACATAGCAGACAAGCGGTTCTCACGCGCTGCGCTGATAACTTGCTGGCAGAACTCCCTTTCCTGCTGTGGAAAGGAATTTTCTGAGAGAGCGCAGCGGAGACAAAGACCAGCGCACAGGACGGCAGCTCCTTCAAACGCAAGACGACACCAGGCTAAAACCACCGACGCGTCAGGCGCGCAGACACTGGAGAAGTCGCACGGCGGGAGGTACGGGGTCGACAAGTTTCACACGGATTTGCCTTGACATGTTTGAAACATGGACCCGTGTTCCCCAACCCACCCACCCACCCACCCACCCACCCACCCACCCACCCACCCACCCACCCACCCACCCACCCACCCCCACCCACCCACCCACCCACCCACCCACCCACCCACCCACCCACCCACCCACCCACCCACCCACCCACCCACCCACCCACCCACCCACCCACCCACCCACCCACCCACCCACCCACCCATCACACCTGTGAACAGGACCGGCGCCTTACCCGTCAACCCAACATGTGAATTTAAAGGCTTGGCTCATATCGTCAGGGGTATGCTAATCGTAGCAGAAGCAGCAGCGCGCCATGCTCCCTGCCTAGTGTGCCTCACTAGAATTCGCCTTGGCTCACTTGGCTCGCGGGCCCAGGTCCTTCAAGCCTGCGCCGAGGCAGAGTGTGACAGCCTCTTCGACACCAAGGTGGGACTGAGCACGTGGATTGCGTCTGGCTGCTTCAAGTGCAAGGTGCAGCAGAACGTGGGCGCACATCTGCATGTGGAGAGTCTGGTGGATGCGTTGAGCTCAGCCAGTGCTTTTGCCTGGAGTCGCAGACCCGGTTCACAAGCGATTTGATTTGTGCGTCGTGGCCGGTGGCAAGTCTTGTGGTTGCAGATTAAACAGTGTGTGGCGCAGACAGATGCAACTTATGTGTACTTAGTAATGGGTGTCATTTTGAGCAGCGGTATTGGCGCATGAAGAAACACGCAGCGCAAGAGGCTGGAGACGCTGTTTTGGGCAGAACGCACATGTGAAGAGGTTGAGAACGTTAGCCTGCAAGATTCAAGCGCTATAGAGGAAGCGGGCGTGCTTTTAAGCGCTTTACAGCGTTTCGGGGGCCCCGTGCTGAACTCAAGCCCAAGAACTAGAGTGGGAATCTCGAACCTTGAATCTTAGACATGCTTTTAAAACGCTTCAAGGCGTCTGCCTTCAGTGTCATTCCTGTTTGGTTGCGCACCTCTGTTGAACTTGTGCGCGGCAAATACAGTTGATAGTTCAGCATTTGCGCAATAGATAGTTTCGCACAAAAAACGGTTGAAATGAACTTACTTCTAACCCTTGAATATTGGGTAAAACACTGCAAGTACTAGCGTTTTGCATGCTTCTTAGCAGGGTTTTTGCAGAACAGATTTTGTTGAGGGAAATTAGCTGCTTTGGCAGACAGCGTGGCGTTGGTCAGGGCAGAGAAGATGTGAGCAGATGTTTCTTGTTGTGGTATTGGCCAAGGTTGGCGAGGTGACAGACGAAGGGGGTGTGCAGACGAGTTGAGATGAGAGAAGACGCGTGGCAGGTGTTGGCAAAGGTCTGTAAGTTGACAGACCAAAAGGGTGCATCAGTGGTAGAAGCAGCAGAAGATGCGTTGTTGCATTCTTGTTCACGAGGATGTTTTGCAGTCAATTGAACAAGGAGAATACGAAAAATCACTATCAAAATGGACACATGTTGGCAAACATGAGAACACCACGGTTTCTATGTGAAAGCAGGTCTTTTACTATTGACTGACAAGTATGAACGCGTCAGAGATGAGCGTATGAACTTTTACTTATGGCTAAGATCCTGTGCGTGATGACATGTTACACAACTTCACTCTTGCGCTGTACCGAACTTTCCCTCGCAATGTTCAAAGTGACTTGTGTTGAAAGACATTTAGTTTCTCTGGCCAGAAGATGTATGAAGTGACTGAACAAGGATCAAAAGGAGGAATGCCACGCACATTTTGCAGACACTAGCAGCAAATACCGCTTAAAAGGAAAAGTCTTCATGAATCATCTGCGCAAGTCTGCCAGCATTGTCAATTGAGCCCAGTTCTGGCAACATCCATCTAACATGACTTGACTTCGCTTACGCAAGCAGCAGGGAGGGGGGGCTTGCGCACAAACAAATATACGCCCGGCAGGTAACGCCCCTTCTTGAAAATGATGCGCTTCGCCCAGCAGGAAGAAGAAGGGTAAGGCCAAGAAGCCGGAGGAGCCGGAGGAGCCGGAGCAGGGCCAAGCGCTATAAAATGCGGCCCGAGAGGTTGGTTTCAGCAAGGCCGCAAAGATCAGGCCGCAAACGCCGCGTGAGGAGGAAAGGGAGAGGAGATTTCCTGATCTGAGGAGGGGAACGGAAGAAGAAGAACTAGAGGAGTTGGCGACAAAGCCAAGGCGAAGGCCAGGGCTTTGGGCTTGAGGAGCGCGAGGCGGGCCTACGTCGATGAGTGTTGCGAGAGCTTTGAGAATGCTGCAGTCGCCCTCGCAAAGATGACGGGGATCCGTGGTGCCGCCCGTACATGACCAGTCGATCGTCGGTCGTGGCCCCTTGCTGCACTTTTGTTTGATGCCGTGACCCAGCTCGGCCATTGGCCAACGCCCCGGCTATCGCGATTCATTGTAGCTTGGATTTGGCGCCGTGGGCGGCGGGGAAGGGCCGTTTGATGCCTCTTGTTGACAGCCGCGACTCGGCGAGACTTCGGCCGCGATTTGTAGGCCTGGCGGGGTGGGGTTTTCTGTGTGATGAACAGGATTGGCCTGTTTGAACACTAATGCAAGGCAAGGTTCAAGCGCGCCCACTAAGATTGATTGAGCTGTGGGCGTGCGAGCATGCTTGCCCGCTGGCGTTTTTGCAAGAATTCCGCGCCAGCCTTTCCACGGTGGGCTGGTCTAGTCCCACCCCACCCTGCGAGTGTTGTGGTGTAAGGCTTGTTTGATGGAAGGTTGGTTTAGATTGCGTTTAGAGTTGGTCTACGATGTGGGTTCAGGGTTGGTTAGGTTGGTTCAGGGGTTGTTCAGAGCGCGGGTAGTGTTGGTTGTGGCTCAAGGTCTGTGTCTATCGCGGTTTGTCTACAGTGTGTTCAAAGTCTTCTTAGTGTTGGTTTAAGAGGTGTTGGGGGGGTGGAGAACTGGGGGCCCAGGTTTTGGACAATATCTTTGAATATGCAACGCGCGCACAAACATCACAACAAATACATACACACACACACACACTACAAGAAATCAAGCACCACGTGTGACGGACCGCACTCGCGGGCCCAGCCACCCCAGCAATGTTTGGGACTCTCAGGACATTGCCGACCAGCTTTACCGGTCCATGGGCAAGGCGCACTGTGCCTTTCTGGAGCAGCTCGTCGTTTGTCTTTCCAGTAGTTCATCAGATTTCGTAAAAAGCGAATCCGCTGACTTTGCTTGGGTGTGGGTTTCAATCCGGTGTCAAGGGGCTGGGCAATGAGGGCAGGGCCGGCAGGAAAGAGGGTCACTTTCAAAGGTTTGGCAGGCTCCCCTGTTTCGCATGCCAAGGTATGTCTCCAGCTGCGATCCTACACGTAGCGCCCGGCTCCTTGAGTGCGGCTCAGGCTGCCAGAATAATTGTCAGAAATGGTCGATGGAAACCCTCAAGGAACACGTTTTGTCCCACAGCAGACTCATGGCTTCACGGCTGAACGCATTGAGGTCCACTACACCCAGATGAGCCTGTCAGGATCCTAGTAGAGGTCGCGTTGCAAGGCTGTTGGCAAAGGTGTGCGCCGTAGTCTTCCCAGACTGCTCGAATTTCCGAGGAGCCCGCCTCAAGTGCAGCCAAATGCGGCGGCCTCGCAATTGCGCGCAATTCAAAGAAGCTGTTTGGCGGAAGGCGGCTGGGGCACAGGAGTCCAATCAACTTTTGCGACACCAACACGTCATCCAGAACACACCACTCCAAGCAGGCGCAGCGACCTAGATAATCCAATGGCCCTTTGTTCGGACACGGTTTCGACGCAGGACGCCGTCTGAAGCCGTTTGTTGCATGTTTTGCCGCGAAAATGATGCGACTTGCCCACGAGTGATGTCGTGAAAATGATGCATTTTGTTCGAAACGGCATCCTTTGGGCAACTTTGGGGGGCGAAGGACGGTCAAATGCGGATATCGTGACAACTGCAGCGATGTCGCCCAGCGCTCCAAGCCTGTGCTTTGGACATCGGTCCTGCAAAAGCGTCACCTTCCTCCGGGATCGGGCTCTGATGCGTTTTGTCGAGGAGTCTGATGTGAATCCGCCACGAAAGCTGCAAAGTTGCTTTTTGCCGCGAAGCGACATCGTCATACATATATTTTTATGTAGATATACTCATCTATTCACTTATTTATTTATATTCATGTACCTTGACATGTGTTTGGCATTTGTTGAGGTCGGCGCCCCCAACGGCCGTAAAAAGTTGCAAGTGTGGTGGCGAGCAGCATGGCCTTGCAAATCGCGGTCGAAAAGCTCACAAGTCGCGCCTTTTGCTGCGTAACATGTCCTTTGCGCATTGTTGGAGCCTTCAGGGCAGGGCCAGGCGCCTGTCGTGGCAGGCGCAGCGCTTTCACAAGGGTAGAGATGCGTCTGTGCGTCTGTCGCTAGATAGATAGATACATAGATAGCGGGCTAGCTAGTTTTCATGCGCAAACGCACGGAGAGATAAACAGAGTGGCAGACAGAGTGGTAATTAAGTGCACAGATAGAAGTCCGGGAGCCGGACAGATACGTAAAAAGACGATAGACACGTAGGTGCATGACAACTAGATGTGAGATAGATAGGCAGGCGGCTCGCTAGATTGATAGACCGAGAGATGGGTGAATAGACATAGAGGTCGCCTGATAGGTAAGTGGGCAGGTAGACAGACACTTAGATAGACACTTAGAGAAACAGAACAGGGGACCCTGGCACCGTGCTTTCTGCGCGGTTTCAGGCTTGCAGTCTTCTCATGGGTCAGCCATGCACTTGATCCAAGACGAACAAAGAAAATATCTTGCGACAACAAAAACAAAAATGCAACAAAACACAAAATCATGTAGAAAACCAATAAAGCCAAAAACTCACCACGGTTTAGAAACTCTTTGGGGCGCAACCCATGTTGAAAGAGTTCTGGAAACATGATTCTTTTGGTTTTTGTTTTTTCTCAAGGTTTTTTGTGTTGTGTTTCTCCGGGTTATTGTGTTTTCTCAAGGCATCTTATGGCTTAATAAACCAAACAATGGCTTAAGGGGGACCAGCCACATCTGAGCCCAAAATAACTATGGGCTCATGGGTTTCGAACTGATACTTCGTCCACCAGTGGAACGAAGCGCTGGGAATACCAAATCTAGAGCTTTCAGTATACACTCAATGCAGCACAGGGAATCTAAAAGTAAGGGTTGGCAATGTTCAATTCGCAATTTGCAATACTAAATGTAGAGTTGGCAATACTGAATCAGGCGCTGGGAATCTGAGTGTAAGCTTGGCGCTGCTCAATTTGAAATTTCAACTGCTAAATGAAGTACCAAGAAAATGCAAAACTAAGCCTTGGCAATACCAAATTTTGATCTGAGATGAAGCACTTGGAATCTGAGTGCAGTGTAAGGCTTGGCAGTTCTCAATTATGAAAATGTTAAATCAAGGGTTGGGATTCTGAGGGTAAGTCTCGGCAAGACTAAATATAGAATTTGCAATACTAAGTTGAGCCGGGAAAAAATAAAAGTAAGCCTTTGTAGTACTAAATGAAGTACCGGGATGCTGAGAGTAAGTTTTTGCAATGTTCAATTTAGTTGGCGCTGCTCAATTTAAACATAACACTGCTAAACATAGGTACCGGCCATGTAACTAGGTAATGTGGTGAGGCGTGGTGCAGAAAAAAGATTCTTCCGGCCCTTGCCTGGTTTGCAAATGCTCTTCTTCTGAAGAGAGCAAGCCCTCTGCAAGTTGGCTTTGCGCAAGGACGCTCAGCAAAAGCACACTCTGTGGATAATCGCTCAAGGTCTAGGCGCGCGTCGGGCTGCGGACGAGAGGGTGTGCAACCATCCAGGCGGGTGTGTTAAAGTGAGGCGCGCGACGAAACATGCAACGAGAGAAAGGGGTTCGCAGCGAGCCAGCAGGTGTTGATGCATGGGGCGTGTGTAGGGGTGTGTGACAAGTGTTGGCCACAGCACATAGCCTTAAAAGCACAGCGATATGTATATGAACAATACAAAACACACACACACACATTTATGTTTGTGTTTCTTGCTGCCCTTCCGTTTTCCTGCTTTCTGTCCGTCTTTCTTGCTTTCCGTGTTTCTGACTTTCTTTCTTTCTTTCCTGCCTTCCTTCCTTACTTTTTTCTTTCCTTCTCTTCTGCTTTTCTATTTTACGATGTTGTGCTTTGCCTAGCTAGCAATACACCTACTTAATTGTGGGTCAACAAACCAACCTCTCTAGCCCACTACCTTTTATCTAGAGACCGGGATGGGGAATCTGAGCGTAAGTCTTGGCGCTGCTAATTTTACAGATGGCGCTGCTGAATGAAATACTTTGAATGCAAGAGTAAGTGTTGGCAATACCAAATTTAGATCTGGCATTACTAGATGAAGCACTTGGAATCTGAGCGCAGTGTAAGGCTTGGCTAAGTCAAGCGCCAGGATTCTCAGGGCAAGTCTCGGCAATACTAAATTTAGAACTGACAATTCTGAGCTTTGAGCTGGGAAACTAAAAGTAAGTCTTCGCAATACTAAGTTAACTACTGGGTTTCTGAACAGCAGGAGATCCCGGTACTGAATCTAGTACTATCTTAATCGAGGGTTGCCAAGCCTTACACTGCACTCAGATCCCCAGTGCTCAATCGAGTATTGCCAGATCTAAATTTGGCATTGCCAAGACTTACTTGTCAGCCAGGGCCCAGTGACACCTTTCTGCGCCCGCCCAGCTTGCGTGAGCGTGAACTGTTGCAATTCCGAGTTTGAGGCCTGGATTCGAGCTGGAGCGGCGGAAGTGCATTTTGTTGCAAAACGCGAATGGCCGCGATTTGTTTGAGAGTGTTTTTTGCGTAAGCATATAACGGAAACGGCCGCAGCCCCAGATAGAAAGTTGCAGCTCTTCAGCACGCGGGTGCTAGTAGCGCATGATGTGTGAGAGTAGCTAAGGAATACCAATGAACCTTGTGCTGGAGTGCTTATTGTGGATCTTGTGGTGTTCTCATTTGGCAGCTCATCCATGTCCGCAAAAACAACAAGTTTAGAGAAACGCCCCACCAATGAAGGCGAACATCTGCGCATGGAAAGCCTTGCGAGCAGACGAGGACCAGCTAGCCATGGCCTTGGACACCGTTTTTGTGGCGAACTTTCTGCGACAGCACCCGCCCTGGCACTCAGACGTGCGCATCAACGGAAAACCATTGACTACTTGACATCTACATGCAAGTTTCCGGGCTAGTAAGGATCCACTAGGGGCTGGGAACATGTCAGAGCAGAGAGCTGGGCGCTGGTTCTTGCAATTGAGGCGAGACCAGAAATGCAACCTGTCGTGGCCTCTGACTGCGCCGCTGTTTCCCTTGACCCGGGCACACGCCGTAACAGGGGAGTGCTGACCAGCCTTGAGTCACACGGACTTAGCACGCCTGTTTTTTAGCGTTGTTTCATTTGGTGGAAACAAGCTCGCTGGGCAATGATGTCAAATCAGAACGAACATCTTAGCGGTTCGGACCTCTTTGGTGTTTCCTGTGGCAGAGGGATCTCACCTATGGTTGTCAGACATTTGGCACTTTACTGCCGTGTTCAGTTCCCTGTAATCCTTGAAACTTGTGGTGAGAAGTTTGATTATTCGATCAGGCAGGAGCTTTGCAATGACTTGGATGCCCTGGGTATCCCACTGCCTGAGGCGGAGCTGCCTTGCGGATTTAAGTAGACGGGTCACACATTGGTTTATTTAGTTGCGGCCCCAAACAAGAACCATGCGCTCTGCATGAGGAATCCTGGTATTGACAGAAGCAGTCACTGCAAGGACAAGCAGGATACGCTTGGGCTCTTGAAGGCTTGGTTCATGTGAATACCCACTGTCTATGCAGCTGGCGCCTGCGCATGCCATGGTGGGAACTAAAGGGTTGGCCGCATCTTTCTCAACAGCGATCTTCACAAAGGCCATGACCTGTGCGCGCGTGCTTGCGTGTGTGACCTGGCATTGTTGGGTGTTGGTTTGCGCCTTCTCTTGCCCAAGCCGCAGACTAGACCGAGTCAGGAAACGATTCGACAAGCGCGTATCACGCGAGTACAAACGGCATGTGAGCCTACCGACATACCGACAGGGTGGGGTTCGGGCTGGGTAAGATATCGTTGAGGGTAAGTTTCGATTTGAGAAAGGTTTGTGTCAGGGTCGCGTTAAGTTTGGCTTTGCGGCTGTTAAGTTTGGTCATGAGTGGTTTGTTTAGGGTTGGGTTAGCGAAAACGTAGAGGGGTTGGCCAGGATGAACTTGGGGCTTGGACTTGGTTTAGACTAAACTCAGGGGTGGTTTAGATTGGTTGTACGGTTCCTTTAGATGGGTTTCGTGTATGTTGTGTCGGAGAGCTTTCGAGGGTGTTAAGGGTTTAGGATTTGCTCCAAATAGAATGTTTCGACCCCTGCCTGGTGTAGAGTTAGTTTCAAGTTGTTTTCAGGATTGGTTTGGATTGAGTTCACGATTGTTTGTCTGTTGTCTGTGTGTGTTTTTGTATGCTTGTCTGTGCTGTCTGCGTTTGTCGGTCTATTTTTCTGTTTTTCTTTCTTTCTCTGTTTCTGTCTGTCTGTCTGTCTGTCTGTCTGTCTGTCTGTCTGTCTGTCTGTCTCCCTCTGTCTTTGTCTCTGTCTCTGTCACCATCAACCATTTCTGGAATTACATTCTGTTCTATCAACTTCTTCCAACAAGTATTAATAGATTTCCATAATTTCATTCTTAATATGATTTCTATCATAAAACAAGATAGGATTTAAGATGGGAAATAGTCGGATGACAGATGGATGAGTGAGAAGTGAGCAAGATGTAGATAGGAAATGATATTAAAGATGCCAGAAGATGGGCGAGTTCCTCTGAGGAAGTTGTTGGCGCGAGTTCTGCGAGCAAGTTCTCCAAGCGAGTTTTCTCTGCAAGTTGCTCTGGGCAAGCGGTTGGCGCGAGTTCCTCTGAGCAACTTCTCGAGCAAGTTCTCTGTGCAAGTTGCTCTGAGCAAGCTTTTGGCGTGAGTTCCTCTGGGCAAGTTCGCCAAGCAAGTTCTCTCTGCAAGTTGCTCTGAACATGTTGCCTCTGTCCATAGCCACTTTCGTTAAAGTGACATTTTCCAACCAAAACTGCAAAAAGTTTACTTTGCGCACGCGCGCTACTTTCATACTCAAAAGTTGCAACTTTCCAGCCGGAGCTTCGCAAGTGCGCTTCGCGCACTACTTTCGTACTTAAAAGTTGCGATTCTCCGGCTGGAGCTGCGAAAGTGTACTTTGCGCTTACAAGTTGCGATTTTCCAGCCGGAGGTGCGAAAGTTTACTTCTCGCGCTCGTGCTACTTTCGTACTCAAAAGTTGCGACTTACCAGCAGAAGCTATTGCGAAAGCAGGCGCGCAAACCGCGTTTCGTGAGCAGGCAAATGGCAATGCGCCACAGCGAGGGCACTTCAGCACGCACGATCTCTGCAGAGAGTTCGCCGAGACAAGCCGAATTCGCACGGCGCCACAGTGAGAGCGCTTCCACACGCGCGATCCGCGCAGAGGGTCGCTCCGCAGACCACAAAATCAAAAACGTTCACAGTTGTTTTGTCATCGACCCACGCAGAGGGTTGGCCGGGAATGTCGAGAAGTAGCAAAAGTCCCCAGGTTTTGAACATGGATGGTCGAACCGCGACCGCAGAAGGTAGTAAAAGTCCTCAGTTTTTCCAACATCGGTCCCACGCTTTTTCAACATCAACCACACCAACCCAAGCAGAGGGTCGCTTTCCCGATCGGCAAGTTTGTGAGTAATCTATACTCGCCGAGCTTCACTTTGATTCTTTCACGCACGAATTCACTTGGCTATAAAAGCATCACATGTAGCCAAACATCACAGAAAACCTCTCGTGTGTCAGCCTTGTGTAACTTGCTTGTGTAACTTGCTCAAGAAATCTCTCATGTAACTTGCTAGTGTAACTTGCTCAAGCGATCTCTACATGCAACTCGCTAGTGCAACTTGATCTGCAGCCCTCTGGTGCATCTTTCTCATGTAGCTTGCTCTAGCGACCTCCAATGTAACTCGCCGGTGTAACTTGCTCAGTGTAACTGTACTTGCGCAACTGGCGCCAGTTTTTCCGGAACAACCATTCGCAATGCTTTCGGGAGAAAGCGAGTAAGTGAAAGGAGTTTTAGAAGACACATTATGAGGGAATAGTGGTGGATAGAGAATTAGCTCAGATTAAAGGACACTTTTCATCTCACCTTTTGCCCTTGGTCACCAACTTAAGGATTTACCGGATAACGACTGGAGATGTGAATGGGTGATCAAGGGATTCAGAATAGTTCGTAAGAACATAAAACTCGAAATGCAAAGGATAACAAAACATGAAGAAGACAAATATGACAAGGTCAATAGAAACTAATATGACCATAGTTCTAGATTTATATTTTCTTTTCTTTCTTTAGGGTTCATTTTCCTATCTTAATGTCTATTGTTAGTTCTGTTGCCCTTCCTTGTCTAGTGTCCGGCCTCTCTTATCTGGTTTTTGGCCTGGTCGTCCCCTTCTCTTGGCCTCTCTTCGCTCCCTTCCTCGCTGCTTTCGGTAAAACCCTCGACACATCATTATTTCTCTCCGTCGCCTCGTCTAGAAACGGAGGCAGGAGATAGTCATGCGAAGGGAAGAGGAATGCCAAGCCATGAGTGGTGAGGCTGCTTCTTTGTTATTAGGCCTGACCTCATCTCGCTATCATTCCCACCCCTTCTTGTCATCTCATCCTATCACCAGGCAATTCTCAGCATTCATATTGGCTGGCATGATGGATGGGATGATGTCACTCACTTCCTATCTCTCCCTTTCCTTTCTGGATTGGGCTAGGAGTGAGAGGAAGCTTCCCCATCCCTCGCCTAGACAAGTCTCTGCCGGAGCAGGGAGCTTCTCCCTTGTCTTTCCCTTCTCTTTCTCTTGTTCACTCATCGTGTGCCTTTATCTCAGGCACAGATACAACATGAGAATGAGCAAAAGGAAAGAAGGAAGGAGGAAAAGAGATAGGAATGGTTTGGCGGGCGAGTTACATCTCTTTCTACAGCTCGCCCATCCATCACCTCACTTCCCAAGCCCACTCCGAGAAGACTTGGTAAGGAAGGAGGTGTGAGAAGGAATTGTCTGGAGATTCATCCCTATCTATGAACCCAGACACTTTCATATCCATATCTTCATCCTTCCCGCTTCCACCGTCCTGGTCTCATTCTTGTCGATAATGGTTGCGCATGGAGGGTTTACGTTCCCATCCAGTGCTTTTTTCCCATATCTCACTTTGACGGTTTTTTAGAGTTTTAACGACCGAAGGGAGAGATGGGGAACAGAAAGCAGAAACACTGACCGTTCCATTCCTCTCTTTGTCATGGCTGGTTCTCTTCTCTTCATGTGTTTGGCCTGTTTTCATCTCTAGACTAGGAAGGGAATGGTGAGGCAATAGACAGATGATGGGAATGAAAGAAGTCAGGCTCACACCCTTTCTCTCTATCCCTCACTTCCTACGCCCTTCCATCTCTCTCCGTCTCTCAACCCTTTCCTTCTTCGCGGGGAGACGCGTGGAGACACATGAAGGCCAAGGAAGGTGTGATTAAGATATGTCCCATCCATGTCCTTTGAGATTGCTATCTTCGCCTGGCGGTGTAATGCCAAGAGAAGGAAAGAAGGAAATGGGAGTGTTGGACCTTCCTTGACAGGCGGTTGAACTCAGAGAATGACTCGCGAGGTTTGAGTTAGTGTAAGGTTCGCGTATGACTTCCTATTTGGCACGGGCTTCGTTTGGTTGCATGTATGCTTGGTTTAAAGGGGCGACGGTGTTTTGGTGGACTCACCTCATTCGCTCCAACAATCCGAATTCCACCGTGTTTGCTGACTCACCAAACCGTATTCCTTTGACAACTTTGCACCCTCCAACAATCTGGCGCGGCGTTTCCTGACTCACACAGCCTTGTTCTCCTAAGACGACCCTGTGTTTCCTGACGCTCCCTCGTTTGCTTCGTTTTCCCGACTCAGCCCAACCCGTTTTTGAACTCTGCTTCCTGACCAGCCCCTCGCCCATTTGCCCTGAATTCTCTATCACACCGGGTTGAAATTCTTGCTTGGGGAACTCCTTCAGCTTCTGATACACCGGCGGAACATGGTTTAGTGACGATTGGTCGCCAACTGGGAAACCGTGTCAAACAAGACCTAAATGCTTGGACATAAAGCTACATGTTTGTCTGAAGGTTTTGGGGATAATGATAATATACGAAAACATAGTGGCGCGAGACCACTGTATCATCCCAGCGACCAGAACTGCCTGAATTGATCTCAGTAGCTATGTAAGTTCGGGTCAGGTCAATCCAGCCCAAATTTGAAAACAATGATCTTGACATGTGAGTCAAAAGGCCATCCCGTCACCCTCTGCCAGCTTCCGGCGCTCCGTGGCGCCCGGAACCTCCGGGCACGGGCGCCCAATTGGGTCGGTAAGCCGGCGCATGTTGGTTTTTTTGGTTTGCTTGGGCGGGTGTTTGTGCCACAGGCCTCTGTTTTGTGTTGAGTGAGTTATGACTTCCCCATTTACTTGCCTGGCAGCTTGGGCCGTGGCGAGTGTTGCGGGAACCTGTTCGCTAGGAACGGCCGCAAAATGCTTTGCTGTGGCAACCCAACTGTGATGACGAGCCGTGGCGCTTGGTCACCCTCGGATTTTGCCGCGCTGGCGGATCACTAGTTACTCAAGCAACAGAGGCCTATTGCGTGACTCCAGGGTAGGTATGAGGCACTCAGTTTGGAATCACTTGGTCGTTCGAGCCACCGTTTGCCCTGGCCGCCAGAACGTTCTATGAGTTGCGCAAGACACCGTCGATCGTTTTCGGGAGTTGCACCTGCCATGTATGACCTTGAGCTGAAAGCCTGAAAACAAGCCGAAACGAGGCCTGGGCCTTGGCAAAGACAAAGCCCAGCCCAGAAAGCCGCGAGCGTGGCCTGGGCGAGGCCGGCGGGTAGAGGTGGCAGGGGTCCGCGTCTTGGAACACTTGTTCCCCCCATCTTTGTGCGGGGTTCCCAGTTTTACTGCTGCGCACCCGCCGCCGTCCATCGCCCGCGCCGCTCATCACTCACTCACTACACTCACTCACTACACTCACTCGCTCACTCACTCGCTCACTCACTCACGCACTCACGCACTCACGCACTCACACACACACACGCACTCACGCACTCACGCACTACTCACTCACTCTCTCTCTCTCTCTCACTCACTCACTCACTCACTCACTCACTCACTCACTCACTCACTCACTCACCCACGCACCAACGCACCCACGCACTCACGCACACACACACGCACACACACACACATGCACACACACACACACACACACACACACACACACACACACACACACACACACACACACACACACACACACACACACACACACACACACACACACACACACACACACACACACACACACACACACCACACACACACACACACACACACACACACACACACACACACACACACACACACACACACACACACACACACACACACACACACACACACACACACACACACACACACACACACACACACACACACACACACACACACACACACACACACACACACACACACATTCGCACACACACATTCGCACTCATGCACTCATGCACTCATGCACTCATGCACTCATGCACTCATGCACTACGCACTCACGCACTCACGCACTCACGCACTCACGCACTCACGCACACCCTCCCCCACACTCACTCACACTGACTCATCTAGGTGTATGTTTGTGTTGCAGGGCAGCATGTGGTAGTTGTCTAGAGGGATTGGATGTTGTTGAGCGCGCGGGGTTCCGTTTTGTGCGAGGCGCAGCGCTTTGGGAATGGCTTGCCAATTTCGTGGCAGGTGCAGCAGTCCCTGCATCTGGGTGTACGTTTCCGTGGCATGGGCAGCATTTGGTAGCAGGGCTCGAAATTGTCAAGCGCGCGGCTGGGGGCCTCGTTTTGTGTGACAGGCGAAGCACTTTTGGAGACGGCCTGCAAATTTCGTGGCAGGCGCAGCAGTTCCTGCTCGATGTTGTCGAACGCGCGGCTGGGCCCCGATTTGCGTGACAGGACATGGCTTGCAACTATCGTGGCAGGCACAGCGCTCGGCTGGGGGCCTCGTTTTGCGTGACAGGTGCAGCGCTGTAGAGATGGCTTGCAAATTCGTGGCAGGCGCAGCATTTCCAGCGTTTGGGTGTACGCTTCCGTGGCATGGGCAGCGCTTGGTAGCTGCCTGGAGGGAAGGAATGTTGTCGAGCGCGCAGCTGGGGGCCCGTTTTGCACGACAGGCGCAGCGCTTTGGAGATGGCTTGCAACTGTCGTGGCAGGCGCAGCGCTCGGCTGGGGGCCTCGTTGTGTGTGCGCTGTAGAAATGGCTTGCAAATTCGTGGCAGGCGCAGCATTTCCTGCATTTAGGTGCACGCTTCCGTGGCATAGGCAGCGCTTGGTAGCTGCTTGGATGGAAGGAATGTTGTCGAGCGGCCGTTTTGCGTGACAGGCGCAGCGCTTTGTACGTTTGCGTGGCATGGGCAGCATTTGGTAGCTGTCTAAAGGGTCTCGATGTTGTCAAGCGCGCGGCTGGGGCGTGACAGGCGCAGCGCTTTGGAGATGGCGTGAAAATTTTGGGGCAGGCGCGTGCAGCATTCGGCAGCCGTCTGAAGGGACTGGAGGTGGTGGAGCATGCGGATGGGGGGCCTCTAAGTGAACTTGATGTTTCGATGTTGTCGATCGCGTGGCTGGGCGCCCCATTTTGCGTGACAGGCCTTGCAAATTTCGCGGCATTTCCGGCCTGGGTGCACGTGGCATGGGCAGCGCCTGTCTAAAGTCTAAAGGGATTGGACGTTGTCGAGCGCGCGGCTGGGGGCCCCGTTTTGCGTGACAGGCACAGCACTCTGGAGATGGCATGCAAATTTCGTCGCAAGCGCAGCGTTTCCTGCATCTGGGTGTGGGCTTGCGTCGCATGTCGAGCGCGCGGCTGGGGGCCACGTTTTGCATGACAGGCGCAGCACTTTGGAGATGGCTTGCAAATTTCGTGGCAGCCGCAGCGTTTCCTGCACTGGTGGCATGGGCAGCATGTGGTAGCTGTCTGAAGGGATTGGATGTTGTCGAGCGCACGGCTAAGGCCCCTTTTTGCGTGACAGGTGATCCGGCGCGGGAAGGCCGAAATGACCAAGCCGCACGTGCATTTGCTTGTCATCGCTGCCGTCAGCCCAGCGCGGGCAGAGACCCAACACGAATCGCTCGCGAGAAAAGAAGTTGCGCTGCGACTGCCAGACTCGTCTGATGACACGACAACGAGAAAAGATAACGTGCCGCGCAGACTCGCTCGCACTCACTTCTTTCATTGACTCGCGCTCGCCACATCGCGCGGGACACCGTGCATGCTTCTGGTTCGCGCGGACCGGTGCTTTCTAAGGCTAGACATGTGGGGTTGTCCGGCCCTTTAACTCTTTTCCAAACGCAGTCAGCCAGGTCAATCGTTAGAAGCGCAAGAGGAACCTTGAGCGTGAGCAAGCGTGCAATGAGTAAACCCTTGTCCTGCTGCAGATATCTTTGCGCCTTGGGCTGGAGGACATGGAGAAGTTGGCCCAGCTGGACGCAGTTCTCTTGTGTGCTGCCATCGAGCCCCGTGGCAGTGGCAGAGCGGGGGGCGAGGGAGAACCTGAAAGCGCATTGCCAGACACACGCAAACTGTATCAAATTGTGCAATGTTGAGTCAAGTTCATCCTACTTGTGACTCGAAGGCCAAAGCACGCGTGCACGAAAGAACTCTCATGCCAACCTAAAGAGGCTCCACGCCGTTCTCACCGTTATCACCTGGTAAGCTCACTTGTCAAGCTCGGCATATTTGGGCGCCGTGCTTCCAAGTGGCCGGCTTAGTATTCCGAATTTCCAGGCTTGTGTGGCATGCGCTTCCGACTGTGTGCGTGGAAGGGACGTGGAAGGGCCAGGGGGCCAGTGACATTTGCTGGCCTTGCTATGACTACGGGTTGGGTTTTTTGCTTAGTGTTGGTGTGCAAGTTGACAGTTCCGGTCACACAGACCGGTTAGCCATCATCCATCGTCAGTGCCAGTGCCAGTGCGGATGTCAATGATATATGGCATTGTCAGGGTCAATGTCCTTGTCCCCATCATGCATTCCCACTGCCAGGTGAATCATTGGCACTGTCCTTGCCAGCTCCCACTGCCAGCCTATGTCATCGTTACTCACTGACTTCAGCCCGCCATGGCTGGAGTAGCTGCAGCAACGGCATCTGGCTGAGATAGCCGAGAAACAATTTCAGTGATCAGGTGGCACGGCCGAAGTTTAATAACACGCACGATTGGATTCAACAATTTCAGTGAGCAGCTGGCACGGCCGAAGTTGAATAACACGCGCGATTGGATTCAACATCGGCAAGTGTCACTCAATGAAAGCCTAAGCTTGCCGCCTACCTTAAATTCAGTGCGTGGGTGGGGGCCACACCCCATGGCTTCATCAGAGCAGCAGAACCACGCAGTCTACATACCCGCCTTTGAGTTTTATCCGGACCTTGTACCACGCAAACAAAACCAAGTGCTGTTGATGAATGCCCACCAAAGTCTATCATGAGTTCTATGGGCAACATGTCTGCGATGTTTGTAACTTGCGTTTCTCTTCTGCCCCAAGGCAGTGTCCCCATCCTGCGCTGGCATGCCGGATGGACACTCTGAATTCCTCTCATTTCCAAAGTTAGCTTGGTTGCTGAATCTACTTCCTGTTTCTAGTTTTAAGCAGTTACGTATCTACTTCGTTTCTATCATTTCCCACTGGAGCCCTGTCCTCTTTCCTCTCTCTCTCTCTCTGCCATCCGTAAGTGGGAGAGGGGGGCGCACTGTAGAACTGAACCGCCGTGGCAATGGCAAACACACAAAAGATGGCATAGTTGCATGTGGCTGCTGAACTTGTATTCTCGCAAAAAATGTTCAAGTTCTCGCGTTCGGGTCAAAAACCGTTGCAGTATCCCTGTGTTTGAGTGGCGCTGTTTGTTTTGCTGCGGTAAACGCAAGAGTAGCGGGGCCCCCCCGCAACCCATCGGTAGCGGGGCGTAGAGGGGCGTTGCGGGGGGGGCCCCGCTACGGCCGTACGGGGCAGCAGTGGCGGGGCTGTAGCGGGGCCGGTAGCGGGGCTCCCCCGCCGCGGTAGCGGGGCCCCCCCGCGACGCCCCGCTACGCCGGCCTGTAGCGGGGCCCCCCCGCTGCGGTAGCGGGGCCCCCCCGCTGCGGTAGCGGGGCTTACCCGCGACGCGTTTTATCACGAAAGGAACGCAATGGCCAGATCTATAGATTCGGGTTGCATCCTCGCTGGGGAAAAATTGAAAACCCGCTTGGACGAGTTCAATTGCTTTTCACCGGCATCCTCGCCGCCCTGGGCCAGTTTTTTGCAGCGGCAGCCTCGCCAGATAAACACCTGCCTGGGGCAATTATTTTTCTCCTGGGCCAGTTATCATTGCTTTCACCGGCATCCCCGCCGGGATAAGCACCTGCCTGGGCCAGTTTTTGCAGCGGCATCCTCGCCGGATAAGCACCTGCCTGGGGCAATGATTTTTCTCCCGGGCCAGTTATCATTCCTTTCAGCGGCAACCGCACTGGGATAAACACCTGCCTGGGCCAGTCATTTTTCACCGGCGTCCTGGCATTGGGCATCAGCACGTTCAATGAAGGGGCTTGAGAAACTCTCCCCCCGCAATCACTGAACTCAGGTCACAGTTTCACGTCGGACTTTAAGCGTCTAATAAGAATGAAGCTGGCAACCTTGGAGAAGGGTGGGATTTGCCAAGGTCCAAAACAAATGCACACGCAAAACCCCAGTATAACATGCTATGTGCGCTGGTCCAGAAATGAGTTGCAAAGGCCCAACAAGAATGAGGCTTGCAAAAGTCCGCGGAAAGGTCGGGCGCAATGACATGGGCAAGGCTTCAAGCAGAATGTGATTTGCAACCAGTGAGGATGGCATGTGCAATCCCCATCCCCTTTTCAGAGGGACCTGGCAAGGCTTTGAAAAGAACCACATTTGCAAAACTCCCGAAAAAGCTATCACGTTTGACTACATGCGCCTAAAAAGAATGACGCGGGCAATCTCGGAGAAGGGTGGGCCGCAAAAACTTCACTAAGAAGGACATGTGCGCTGCTCTAGAAATGAGTAGATTACGAAAGGTCAGAGTGTGACGGAGAATCCAAATTGCAAAGGCCCAACAAGAACGAGGCTTGCAAAGGTCCGGGACTGAATTGGCAAAGCGTCGAGCAAAATGTGATACGCAACCAAAAAGGATGGCGTGCGCAATGGCCATTTGAAGGGATCTGGCAAGGCTTAGATACCAAGAACTTTTCGAAGAAGATATCACGTCTGACTACATGCGTCTAAAAAGAGTGACGCTGGGAATCTTGGAGAAGGGTGGGGTTTGCGAGGCTGGCAAAGGTTGAGAATAATAATGTCGGCAACGCTTCAAGCAGAGTCGCATTTGCATCCAATGCCCATCACCCATCGCCTTGTCAGAGGGACTTGGCAAGGCTTTGACAAGAACAACTTTTGCAACAGGCCCGAAGAAATTATCACGTAAGACTTAAGCGTCCAATTAAGCATGGGGCTGGCAATCTCGGAGAAGGGTGGAATTTGCCAAGGCCCGCAACAAACACACTCGCAAAGCTCCAGTGAGAAGGACATGCGCGCTGGTCCAGAACTGACGATTGCGCAAAGGACCAAGGAGAGTGACGCAAAATGTGAGTTGCAAAGGCCCAGAAAGAGCGAGGCTTGCAAAGACCTAAGATATGCAACCGATATGGATGGCATGTGCAATGTCCGTTCAGAGGGATTGCGCAAGGCTTTGATAA